TCACTACAGTACAGGGACTTCGGCTCAATTTATGAGCAACTTTAAAAATTCATAATAAAATGCTACTACAACTCATTTGCATGTATACCAATAATAAACCACATCTAGTGATTTTTGCCTCCCCCTCTTGGTTAAAATCATGAAAGAATCTCTGACAAGGAAATAATAATTTGGCTAGACTCTTTACAAAAACCAGGCCTAAACAAAAATGATATACATGTACACACCAGTGGAGGTTGATAAAACAGAATCAGTAGATGAAGCTGTTCCAGTACTTGAACCACCTTCTTCAACTTTAACCTTAATAAACTCATCACTGCTTGGAAAACATTTCTCTAAAAAAATAATGAAATATTAATAAGCATAAGTGACTTTGCAAATTCAATAGTTTGTCCCTTCTAATCAATACACTAACTAACATTTAAATAATCATATTTGCCCACAACTAGTTCATTGAGTAAGTGTGACCATAATACATACCATAGTCTGTGTGCATTGCTTCTCCTAGTGGCATATTACGAGGAAACTTGCAAAGAACAATAGCCAATGTTTGCAGGTTCTTATAATTCAACTGAATAACTTCTTTCAGAGCATCTAACAGTGCTTCACGTTGTTTAGGAATAAATGGACTACCTGATTCAACACTAGTCACTGCTTGTTTTACTAACACACGCTCTCCATACAGCATCCATGCTACACTGACTGGATCACAGAGAGACTGTGAGAGGTTATGGCAATGAGTGTCAAAAATACAAGTAGCCATAGCATTACATCCTATAGTTACAACATGAAATTATTGACAATACATTATAATAACTTACTCTCTTCATCTAACTTGTCAGCTACAGCAGTTTCATCCATTGATCTAAGAGCATTTGACAGTGAGTCAAAGGTAGCTCCTCCTTTACTATTTACATTGTCTGCTTTACGTAACCACTTAGACAGACATTCAGTCAAACAGCGAGTTACATCACCAGGGTGATTCCTTTCAATGGCGTCCAGTGTGTTCTTGTGTAGTCCTAGTCTCAGTCCCAGATCTTGCCATCTTGTTTCAGGATACCCTGACCTCTTTAACAAATCAATGACATCTACAAGTTGATCTAAAGAGAATAGAGCAACAGATTCTATCTAGATATATAAGTTACTGCTTACCAATAGACAAATGAGAAGAGAAAAGCTTTGAGGAATGGCTGACTTTGGAATCAGCCATTTCAAGGGGCTGAGGGAGGGGCTGTAGAATAGCAGGAATGCAGCATAGATAATATACTACATGAAATATTATCTAATTAGTATGAATGCAGGCAGGAAATCCAAGAAGAAAAAATTGATCAATTTATCTGTTTTTTATATTAAAACATACAAGCAGTATCTATTTTTCATAGATGATACAAGTACATGTATGAGCAAATGCATAGAATACAGGGTCCAGAAAAAAGTAGTAGCAGTAGTTGCTAGACCTAGCAGGTCATTGTATCATTGACATGATTTGAACCACTCATTGCAGCATTTTATTTTACAAAAAAAATTTAAAACAGTATGTTATTATTGTCATTATTTAGTATACTCTTGTTATTATTAATTGTTACTGAATGACCAATATGTCTCGGCGTTAATGACTGGACAATAGCTTAGCTGCATTCCACTTGATGTTCCAGCTGACGATAAAAAATTAATTGAAATTATTCTCACTGGGGTTTCCTACATCAAAATGACATGACATTAACAATCAAGTCAAAAAATATCACCATATAAATAATTTATATGGGTACGGTTTACCATCAACCACAAAATAACCAGTTATTTTTCAAAGCACGAAAATGTACGTACTTGCAAATTTTGCCAGGACGTGATGATCGACTCGATTTTCAAACGAGTTCTTGTCAGGTTCTCACTAGAAACAGTCTCCAAAGCTAAACCTTGGCAGCTCTAGCATAATAAAGAGAAAACATAGTGAAATTATGTTACTGCAATAATGATTTATCCACATGCAGCAACTACATGTAGTGAGTTGGTGTTGTGCTGTATATACAGTACATGTAAAATTAAAAAAATTCATAGTTATTAAGCTCAGTACTTGCACTCCCCAAATAGCAACACTAGAGCTCACCTCAGTCAGCGTTACATTATAAGTAGCCTCCCCTGGGAAACTATGCCTTTTCGTTAGTTTGACAGTAACTTTAAGGACATTGGTCCTTATAAACTCAAATCTGACTTCACCAGACTGTATGCCTGGCAGTTCTTCTTCACCAATAGTAACTGGAGCAATATCTAAGTACAAAAGATGATGGAAATTGCAATAAAGCTAATATATGGTGTGACCTACTGTGTATTCTCTTATGCCATTCTCTGATACGCATGGTGGCATTTGATGTCTTCCAATCAAACATGATGTTTTCGTGGAGGGTTATTTCAGAAGGAGAAAAATTAATGAGAGTGGACGGACGCTGAAACGGTTTACCACTTTTAGCATGAGCATGCTCCTCCATATCTTTAAAAAATAATAATTATGCTAATCAACTGTAAAAACTATATTTATGATTCTTCTCCACTCTGTATTCATTTCTCTTACATTTTTTTATTTCTCCAGAGAAGTCGTTAACTTTTTTCTTTTCAGTCAGTGCTTTCCTTAAGGCTCGATTGAAAACAGAGCAATCCTCACTCTTCCTCTCGTAAGCTGGTTGACTATCTGAACTAAAGAACAATCATAAATGATAATAAATAACACATTATAGAATTGGGCTATTGTAATTTGTAACTGTACTGACAGTGAATTTATGCGTGGATCCTTACCATGACCATATGGTGCAGATATTATGGAAAGGACAGCTCTTATCTGCCGAAGGTTTCAAAGGTGTTGTTGAATCAGTTTCAACGAACCTATTAAGAATAACTATATCACTAGACTACTCTCATGTAACAACTTTATGGATCATGCTTCTTTGTAATTTTTATGCACAAACACACACACACACACACACACACACACTTTTAAATTCAAAAAATTTCCATTCCATATTATTTAAATTTTTAAATGCATAAAGCCTACACAAACAAAAACAGTTATAAAGTATTTCTTGAAATTACTAACTTTTCCCGACAGCAATCCAAAAGCATGATGACTTTACATTTTGTCTGTTGCAGACGATAAGAGATCTGATTGACAGGTATGCAATCGTCATAGTTAAGGCCACTGGATACATCTATGGGCATTATGTAATCAACATTCTGGAGCCTGAACCCGTGACCAGAGTAATAGAACAGGCAATAGACTCCGGAGTCAAGGAGCCTCACAAAGACGTCAAGGACGTGCATAATCTCCTTAAATTTGAGATCGGTGAAGGAGAAGACTTTGAAATTGAGACTGGTAAGCGTTTTAGATAACTCATCAACGTCGGAGTGGGGACTATTGAGCTGTCGTACATAGGAGTACTTCTCATTACCAATCAATAGGGCAACCTTTTCTCTAGCTGAATAATGATGTACATTGCATTTGTGATCGATAACAAGCATCATAATAACTCACCATAAAATATTTTATCAGCAGTTTGAAATGTACGTTCGGCTATAAATTATTATTAACATAATTTTAAATTTAAAATGCTACTCACCTTCATCTTGTTCAGCTTGTATTTTTGTCCAAGACTTTGTATCTACATTATACACAATCGCCACAATAAAATTTAATAAAATTTGTACGTTTGGTAAAATTTGGTCAAAGTCTCAGTACTATAGTACAGAGACTTTAAAGCAACTTTTAAAATCAAATTTCAATTGGTATCCATTACTGATCAGCTCACCATTAAAAGGAACTCCTTCTGATACTATTGCCAATTCTGATTGAATGGAATCCTGGTCACTTTTAACAATGCAGTGATATGTACCAAAATGACGTTTATTGATCGGAGCCAATACCAGTGCATCTTGATTCTCATTCCTTTAAAAGTAACAACAATAATAACAACAACAATAACAACAATAATAATAATAATAATAATAATAATAATAATAATAATAATAGAAATAGTAAAAATAATGCTTTATTTCTTACGTACGCTATTATGTTATTGTTCAGATACCATTGGTAGGTGACTGGTTGTGGTGAAACTGCTTCACAGTACAAAGTGATAGAAGACTCCATCAAACAAACATGTGAAGAAGGCTGCACAGCAATGTATCCTGATAATGGAGAAGTGTAAAAAAACAGATAATATTCAAAAAATTTAGATTAGCATTATAACAAATTAGACGTACATGCATGAATAATTTCTATTTGCTTAAGTACAGGCAAGTTTAAGTTAGCTAAATTTTTCTTAAAATTAGGAATAACTCGTAGTACGTGTATAATCAATGTATTTTCCTCTTACCTTTCTCTCTGTATGGCTCACAAGAGACCTTGACAGTTTCAGAGGATGCAAAGTGAACATCATTCTGAGCCTGACATTTATAGTAGCCCCAGTGCTCCGCATCTAGCGAGTCAAAAAAGAGAAACCCCTCTTCCTTCTTAATGCAGATGCCAGGTTTTTCTGACAACCTTGTGTTCTTCCCGTTCTCATTCTTAAGCCAGAGGTACTCTATAGGCTCCATACCAGCTGCTTTACACTCGAGTGTTCCCTCTCTTCCATTATATCCATGAAAGTCACGAGGCTGCTCCACAAACCACACTAAAATAAGAAGATTTGCTCATTTTATTTATTCATTAAAAGTTAGAATTCATTTGCTCTATTGAATAAACGTATGGTAAAATGAGAAATAAAATGGCTAAAGCATTTGGCAATAGTACTGCCCCACATTATGCCCCAAAACTATTTTTTGAAATGTATGCATCTATTTATTATGCCAATAACTTATTTACCAAAATGGATCACAACTTTTGCTCTGTTAGAGGTCACCCAATCAGTTCCATTGGATGAGACACGACACTGAATATCCATAATGTGCTCTTCCTTTGACTTCTTCTTTAGAACAGATGTACCTTGACTGGTACTCAAGTGATCTTCTTGTATTTGTGTACGTCCTAAAGAGTATATCAGTCATTAAAATAATACTATGCAAATTAAAATTAAAAAAGATTAGTAAAAAAGAGAGGAAAGAAAGAAGAAATAGAAATGAAAAAGAGACAAAAGGAGAGAGAAACTAAAAAAGGCTCTTACTTGATAGCCACTGGAAGGTAATGTTCTTTCCTGATTTGCTCTTAGCAGAACATTTCAGCTCAAATTCTTCATAATAACGACAAGTAGTGTCACTTGGATGGGTAGTAATCTCAACATCTTCCTGACCTGAAAATACAATAAAAATTAAAGCAGTAGCCTTTATACATGCATAATAATAATTAATATAAAATAGATATATGTGTTCTAGTAGGTGTACGTCTTACTTGGGATGGCACTTCTTGATGTTATGCTACAAACACTGCTACTTCTTATGTCTCTGTTAGTTACTTGACTGAGTTGACTCACATCGTCCGGAAATTGAGGGGCAACATTCTCTGAAAAATAAACACAAATAAGTAATTGAGAAAATCAAGAGCATAACATCAAGAAAAAATCCAAGTATAGAAAGAGTATATACATGTATTATGTACTATAACCACACAAAAGACAAAATACCATTAAAAGTGAAGTTATCCAACCACCTCTCTCTCTCTCTCTCACCTTGAATAGGGACATTAAGTATTTCAACTCTACAACGACCTGATGGTACACGGGACTGGTTATAATCATCAATGCATGGATTACTGACAACACAATGGTAGAAACCAGTATGTGAGGCGTTACAGTTACTGATACTGAGAGTTGGTGAGGTCTCGTTCAGCAGTGGGTTGTCATTGAAGTACCACTGATAGTCTGGAGAAGGAGGCTTGCATTCGGCAATACATGAGAGGAAGAGGTCCTTTCCTTTCGTTACAGAGAGTGTTTTCTGAGGTTGCTGTGTTATGACTGGTACAGCTAAAGTAATAAAAAAAGAAAAATTATAATACACATACAAGTTGATATACATGTACGTGTAGAATCAATGTACATTGAATACACCTGTACATGCAAAGTGGTCTCAAAAATAACAATAAAAGTATCTTAACTAACAAGTCAGCAATGCTACATTTATTGGTAAAAGACGATAAAAAATAAGACTTCGGTCAGTCAATAAGCAAAATAATTCCAAGTTTAATGTGATCTTTTTAAAAACTATTGTAATTGCTATACTCACTTGTCTGGAGGAAGAGGTTGACTATTTTTTTACATTTTATCTTTTTGCTTATTCTCAGAAACTCGTCCAGTGTCATGTTTCTACGGCTCAGGTCTGCTACCAGTGCTGAGGATGGACTCCCTCGAGGCTTTAAATTCTCTTCAGCAAAAGTCTCAATCTGGGCCTCAGTGTATATCTTTTGACTCATAGCGCCAATAAACAACCTCCATACTTCATCTTCCCCGTCATGTAACTCGTCCATATAACGAGAAGCCTTCTTCAGAGTCTCTTTACTAACGTCCTTCAACTTAGCCATTTTGTGTGAAATCACTGAAATGAAATGCTGAGTCAGCAACCAAACCCGCCCATCAAAACGGGACACGCCCACTTTAATTAATTCCATCATCAAACATGCATGCAGGGAGGCTTGCACGCAAAAATGAAAATTGAGAGCATTGCTTATTTTTAATGTAAACTATCCAAATAGACTATTCCTAGTTGCATTCTTGCATTGAACTTGATTTGGGAAAGTTAGAGCTTGCTATAAAAGTTGCTGGAGGCCATTGCTTCCTGTTAGGGGGCGCGGTTATCGTGCTAATAAATTTTCCCATTTATTCTTTCTAGAAATTCTTAATATTTTCCCCCATTATTCAGTTTTAATTCTCAATAATTTTTATCAGACAATCAATTTGCATCCAAGGATTGTATTCCAGTAGTGTTTTCAAAATAGGTCTTCCAATAATAATAATAATAATAATAATAATAATAATAATAATAATAATAATAATAATAATAATAATAATAATAATAATAATAATAATAATAATAATAATAAGCACTAGCCAAAATTTTCTTCTGCAACCTCAACTCCACCCATACCTCATATAATTATGCTGGCTTATAGAGACCAAAGCTCAGCCTCAAAGCTTATCCAAGAAAAGAAATTCTTCGGCTGTGTCTGTACGTGGTCTTCACATGATATCCTTAACCTCCGCGATATTAATCACTGTTCTCGTTTTCTGTAGCTTTTGCTCAGGTAAGTAGCAGACAGTGCTGTAGTAATGCGTGCCTTCTAATGAAAATCCACTTATTGTACAACTTGTAGTGTGTAATCTGGTGCTAATACGTGTATGGTACCTGTGTGCATTAAAATGCTCCAATGCACTGTTGATTGCTTCATTTCCTTTGTTAGGTCATGTGTCTGGAAGAGACTGTGCCTTCGAGTTCAAAAGTACATACAGTAGTGTTTTCCTTTCGATTGGTGCTAGTTTTCAAAAGGAGTGTGTGTATCAATCCAACTGCCTCTCGGAGGTCAATGTGTACTTAGCAAACAAACCCAATGTGTGCTTTTCTGACAAACCCATCAGCAGTAATTATGACTCTTTTTACAAAACCAGTTCTTCGTATGATCATCAGAATAAATCATACAAATACGCATTTTCATTTTCCAGATTCGATTCGTCATACATTGGATTGTATCGCTGCGTTATTAATGAGATAGGTAATGAGACGAATCAAATGTCCAACAATCTTGTGCATGTGATAAGTAAGTGTTTAATGCAGTTATTTTACAGCTATAGTTTGATATTCTTCTAATAGCTTATGCCCATGAACAAAATGTGGAGAAGTGTTTCTTGCCAACTGTTAAAGATATCATAGTTGATCGTTTCATCTTTCCCAATGGAAGTGTGGTGGTCAACCTGACCTGGAACATTACAGAGAAGGACTCTAAAAGCCTCCCATATTGCTCCGGATCCAGACACTGGAGAGTCAAAATTCAACATTTCTTGAGTGTAGATGACACCCCTGGTGATAGGGACACTAGTACTAGCACCAAGGATGCTGACAATTGGATAAACGTTCCTGGAGGCCGACAGGATTACCTTTTTTTGCAGCTCTTGGACAATGTCACCTATTATCAATTTCTAGTGTCTAATCAGCCAAAAAAGGTTGTGGAGGTTGGAAGGTACAGGTCTCTTGGCTCTCACATCTATTACTTTGGAAGGCAATGTAAGTCATTTCATGAGAGGTCTGAATTCATTTTTGTGCGTCTCTTGTCTATAGCTCCGCCAGTCATTGATCAAACTTTATTGAATGTTGTAATGGATGAATTGACATCTGAGACCGTCAAATGCACAGCTAGAGGGTTTCCCCTTCCTTTAGTGAGATGGGTCAAAGTCACTTCAAATGGTGGCAGCGTCACAGAAAGAAGAGAAAACGGTAGCAGCACTCTTGTTTTGAATGATGCAACCTCTGGCATGAGTGGTGAGTACTACTGCCTTGCTCAGAACATGCAAGTCAATCCACCAGGAGGGAAGAGAACGGTGGATAAAGCACGCTCAATTATTGTTACAGTGAGAGGTATGGTAGAGCACATTATTAGCATAATAAATTATCCTTTCTTCTTTATTTTTTAGAATACCGTTCATCAGATGAGTAAGTGTGCATTAAAAATACTAATAATTATAGTTTGTGGTTTGGCTATACATACTAAAGTATTACAACATTGCCTTCCTGTCAGTCAGTTGGTGGTTCTCTAGAGTACACTGCGTGGGAGGCCTTTGGTTTTAAAACTATGGTTGGGAGGCCTTTGTTTTTAAAGTGTGGCCTCAAGTTAGCTGGGGATGGGCTGGATGGGTCTGGCCTTGGAGACAACTAGCTGAGTGTGCAAACCACTGTCTGTGCCCTTCCATAGCCTGTGGTTAGAGATATATGGTTTCCCTTGACCAGACTATTATTGTCTAGCATTATAATGACATTAGCTACTCTTGTATTCTTCTCTTTATTGTAGCTTACGTTGCGAATTTGCAGACTCTGCGATATCAAGCTCTTTCTGCCGGAGCTATTTGCATACCCAGCTTCCCATTTATATCAACACGTCCTCTGACAGTCAAGAGGACTACATCAGCCTAGCCATGACCAACATCAGGAACAATACTAATGATCAGAAGTGTGAGGATTTGGCTAATAGTCTCCTCTGTCACACAGTCTATCCTTATTGCGATGCCCGCCAGCCCTTGAGACCACTACCCAGGCCAATATGCATGAGAGCTTGCAATGAGTTTGTGCATGGAAAGTGTTCAGCTGATGCAGAGAGGATAAAAAGAGGGTATCCTTCAGTCTACCAGACAATAATCAGTAGGTGCCAGTCCAGTGAAGGCGGTGAAGCTCCCGAATGTATACCATTGAGCTATGATGCTTCTAGAAAAGGTCATTCGCTAATAGTAAACTGAGATCTCTGCAATTTATGTTTCTTCTTTGTCTGTGTAGATCAAGTCCAGTCGGTTGAGGACACAGGCTCATGTGTTCGTGGCAACGGGATCGGCTATACTGGCATGCAGGTTCGCACCCGCTCAAACCACCTCTGTCAGTTGTGGATGCTTCAGACACCACACAAGCATCCTATGCTACCCTCTGTCTATGTTGCAGAGCTTCAAAATGCTGGTTACTCTTGTAGGAATCCTGGGGGTCTGGGAGAGAGACCTTGGTGCTATACCAATCACCCTAGTGTTAGATGGGAATACTGTAACATACCATCGTGTCGTAAGTAATTATTTTCAAATAATACTTTTAATAATTTCATAGTCAATTGCAGTGAGCTAATGGTTGAGTCAAATGAAGGACTCTCTGTTTCTTATTCATCAAATAGTTACATCAGTACAGCTACATATAGTTGTAAAAATGGCTATAGCTTAGTTGGGGTTGCTGCAAGGACCTGCTTGAGTAGTGGAAAGTGGAGTGGAAATCCACCTTACTGTCAAATTGGTTAGAATTATATAATACTTTAAATAATTTCGTAGTTTTTTTTCATAGTCAATTGCAGTGAGCTAATGATTGAGTCAAATGAAGGACTCTCTGTTTCTTATTCATCAAATACTTACAACAGTACGGCTATATATAGTTGTAAAGATGGCTATAGTTTAATTGGGATTGCTGCAAGGATCTGCTTGAGTAATGGCAATTGGAGTGGGAACACACCATCTTGCCAAATACTTGGTTAGATATTTTATGCTTAATTGTAAAATGCCATTGCCACAATTCCTTAACTAATCTATGTATTCAACTGTGGGCAACATGTTTGCACTGATTTATTAGGACAACCTACTCATTGCAGAATACCAGTTCTATGAAATAAACAATCATAATTTGTAATAAAAATTGAAAAATTAATACTTCATAGCTTTACTTACTACTTTATTTTTCAGTGAAATCATTTCTCTCTAGTAATTGGCCTTAGTTCTGTGCATGATATTACACTTACTTCAGTCTCACCTTTTCATTAGTAACATCTTCAGATCGACTTGGAGTTATTATGAATATGATACCAATGGTGATAGTCACTGTGACAGTAGGAGTTCTGGTGGTGCTTTTAGTGATTTTTTTTGCTTGCATAATAAAGAAGAGAAAAAGAATAAAACCAGTCACAAATGAGGCTACTAGATCTATTGCCTTCGGTAAGTAAACCTAATTCTAACAATATACATTTTAAATCAATTAGAATACATGAAACTTAAAAAAAACATGTGGACATAATGTATCCTCTATAATAGATTGTGAAAATCATACTTCTAATCAACTTAAGGAGATCTCGTCTGATTATATCAATCAGTTATCAAAGCATTTAATATCAGGGTCAAACCTCAAGATACTGGAGTCTGTTGGTCGAGGTCAGTGGGGATTGCATCAGTGATTAAAAAATTTAAAATTGTTTATACATTTAGGTGAATTTGGTATAGTGTATCGTGGGCTGATATCAGTAAAAAATCGCATGCCACAAGCTATTGCTGCCAAGACTTTAAAAGGTATTAATAATCATTATTTTGTGTGGATAACTTTATTATCATGATTATTACATTTCAGGTCTCTACAGTAAGAGTGATATTGACTCTCTACTGGATGAGTGCGTTATAATGATGTCGTTCGATAATTTAAATGTACTACCACTGATTGGTGTGTGTCTTGATCTTGGACCAGCTCCATACATTATCATGCCTTTCATGTCAAGAGGAAGTTTATTGTCTTACCTCAAGAAAGAGAGAGCTAATCTTACAGTAGCTGATACCAGTGAAGAGGATATTATACTGAATGTCAGGAAACAGTTACTCTCTATTTGTTTACAAGTTGCTAATGGAATGTGCTACTTAGCTTTGCAGAGATTCATTCATCGAGATTTGGCTGCTAGAAACTGCATGTAAGGCATAATACTTGTGTAAATCAATCAAAGGATGTAAAGCCAGAAAAACTGCCCATGTTTGTAAGATGCCCACTATACAACAGATTCCAAGAATACAAAGTCAAATTAACTAATTGTATTAGTGGCCTAATTAAATTGTTCATGCACAAATATATTATTATTTATAGGATTGATGATAATGGTATCATTAAAGTAGCCGATTTTGGTCTATCAGAAAAAATATATTCTCAAAACTACTTCAGACAACTGGAAGTCAATAACTCATCACCTGTTATTAAACTACCGGTGAAATGGATGGCATTAGAAAGCCTTCATGATGGACTGTTCTCTGAAAAATCTGATGTGGTCAGTAAAATTGCAAGAAATAATATATGCCCTATCTAGATTGTTATGTTCTATTCTCTGTAGTGGTCTTATGGTGTGTTATGCTGGGAAGTGTTCAGTCTTGGTAGAGTACCTTATCCTGGTCTAGATCCAGTAGGAGTTGTGGAATTATTAAATACTGGTGGGAGACTGTACAGTCCAAATAATGAAGCATGTTCAAAAGAAATGTATGAAATCACCAACCATTTATTTTGCAATTAAATTTTACTGCTTTTTTTCCTTTTTTTACAGATACTCACTGATGATGTCATGTTGGTCTGAGTCTCCCAATGATAGGCCAGTGTTCAGTGATTTAGTATCATCAATCAATGCACTCATCGAGCCATTGGCTGGCTATTTAGATCTAGATGTTCATACTAGTACTGTATAAAATGATAAAACTGTATGTTCGTTGCAACTTATAACTTTATTAAGTATTTTATTCTTCATTTATGTACTCCATTAGCAATTGTGCCATTTTTCTTGTTAAAAATTTTCATTTACTCTAATATCTATGACCAAACCCGCCCATTAAAAAGTGACAAGCCTACTTTAATTAACTCACATCATCAAAAAATTAATTTAATGACAATCCTTACAAAGTTCTTAATTCATATGACCTGCTTTCAGTCCATTTAACTCTTGGATGCTTCCTATACCTGTACAAAAATTGCACATTGATATATTAACAGTATATTATATACCTTGATTTCATAGGAGGGCCTTTGGGCTCAACCATGTTCCTCTTTTGGAGGCTCTTGTATCTGTCAGTAATAAAGTCACCTCTTCCCTATATGGTAAATAAAAATAGTTTAAATAAACAAAATTAATCAAAAATATAAAGTTTCAGATTCTACTCCTTCTTTACCTGTAATAATCTCAATGAGCCACAAAGCTCTGATGAGAGCTGAACATCAACAGGAGGTTTCTCATACCTAATACAACACAAGAAGAAGAAACATACAGAGCAGTCACAATCAGTATTTATTGTAATAATCACTAGCTAATAATGTAATTCAAATGTTAGCATTCTTGCCAATTAAGAAAATGATAAAAACTGATATCTAACTTGTATTTTCCAATGCGTCTTGTTGCAGTAAGTTTGCTTTGCTTTTGATGCAATCTCTTCAACATCTTTTCCTTTACCATGTGCTCCTTAGCAGCGATCTCTTTCTTCAATGACTTAATTCTAAAAATTATGCAAAGAAGAAAGGTATAATCTTTTTTTAAAATCATTTACATTTTACAATAGTAATTAATAAAATTTATTACACTCTTTATATTGAAATATTCTGAGAGTCTAAACTATTGCCCTAACATTATTATCATTATCATCATCATCATCATCATCATTATTATTACTATTATTATTATTATTATTATTATTATTATTATTATTATCATCATCATCATTATTATTCCCTACATTATAGACTGACCTGTACACATCACTCATTCTCATCTTCTCCCTTTTCATTGCCTTATGAAGCAATGCCTATAAAACAAAGACAATACTATAACACTCAAAAAAGTGCACAATCATCTAAACTGTTTTCCTAATGAGCCTCTCCTTCCTTCTTTGCTTGTTAGTCTTTCTTGCTGGAGGTCTGACATTCACAGGAATGTCATCAATGGCATCATCATCATCAGATGATGAAGCCTCATCTAAACCTTGACTCAGTTCAACCATCCATTGCTCCTATTGATTAAGAAATGAATTAAGTTAATCAGATGTTACTATCTGCTTTTGGATTGGTAAATTTTTAGCAATTCCACAAGTGCTCTTGCCGGTAATTATTTTTACCATAAAAGGCAGAGACATGAAAAATGATACATAGCTATAGAATAGAAAAACAGGATACCTCTCTCTCTCTTTCCGTCATTCGTGGCATCTTCATGCTGGAATTCAATTTCTGAAGTTTCTTTAAATTCTTTTCCTCATCAGCATTGGCTTTGCGAAGAAGACGCTGTCACGAAAAAAAGAGGGAGGAATCAATTTGATCAGTGATGAGGTTACAACATTACAAATGAGGAATATAATCTGTAATGTAAAGAATATTATGCTGAAGCCCAAAACTGCAGCAACTGCTTGTAAGTTTTAACTCGCTTGCTGGCAATGCATTAAAAATTCACTTCAAAAAGATACACTGCTTGTTACACTACAACAAATTAAATACTGGTACATTTCTAATCTAGACAAGGGCATTATGACATGTTATTCTTAATGTATTATTGTTCAATATCATGCACTCAATGAATATATATCTCAATAATATCAATTGGAGTAGCTTCATCAGGATATCCACCACTGCTACACATCCTCAGCTCAATATCATCAGTAACTGACTGAGGTAAGGTTTTAATAAACCAGGGGATTGTAGAATTGGAGCAACAAGGAAACTCAAGATTATCACATTGCTGACCATCCCACAATGTGTCATTAGGAAAAAAATCATTTGTGAAAAAAGTAGAGCTTAGTGCTCCTGATTCACAGTAGTAATCATTACCAACATATGATGGTGTAGTAGCTTTTGTACCATTATTACAGGGACAACTAATTGTCCTAGTATCATCTTCAAAAACTCCAACAACATAAGTCCAGATATGTTGACGTGGATTGCTTCCATGAGTAATTGATAAACCATCAACATAAGCACCATCAATATTGTCAGTGCCTCCTTCACGGTTCGGATAAATACCATCTGTACCTCCAAACTGATATCCTCTGGCCTGTCCACAGACTTTAGTATAGTTCAATCCAATGGCTGAAAAGAATGTTGAATTACATCCATTTCCTAATCCCTGAGATTTATCACATAGCGTTTTGCCTCCATATGTGTAGTTGTAGAGACCTTGAGGACAGGTAGCACCAGGTTCTGTCATGTTAATGTATCCTATTCTCATCCAGCCACCATTACCATCACAGTTACTACCCTCCATATCACAGTACACACTAACAATACTCCCATTACTTTGACTGATGTTATAATAGCCTGATGCTGCATTGGGAATGTTCTCTAATACTTCACTGCAAGAATAAAATTTGATTAATCCCAGTGAGTAACATAAAGCCTTTGGTAGACCAGCAGTTGGACAGAAAATATATGTGTAAGAATTACTTTCATTCATTTTAAAAGCTTTTCCATTATTAGCAGATAAGCAGCAGTACTGGTGATAGAGGGAAGGAGTACGATAGCCAGTAGTACAGTGACCCATACCTGATGAGGCATTAGCTTCATACAATAGGACAATGAAGGAGAGAAGAAAAGCAAAGTAGTGTGAAGACATTCTCATCAAACTAAATCTGTTGCCTGCAGGCATAAAGATTCTGCGTGAGACAACAAGTTGCCTAGAAATAATGGGCTTAAAAATGTAGCATAGCAATTCAGAGAATCAATAAGGAAATTATTAGGAACAAACAATTATTAGCAGTAATTGGGGTGAGCCTGATGAAGGCATAACAAGAGTGTAATTTGAATCCACATACACCTTCTGGAGTATGTAATATGCATGTTTATTTATAGCTGCCTAACAACAGTTGGCTTGGGATTGAGTGCATATTAAAAAATGGGCAAATAACACACACATTGTGTTTGAATGACTTTCCATGCTGTTTATGCTAGCACCATTATCACTATGCATTCTTTGAACTCATTGTTGATTGAAATGCATTATAGACAACAAAAAGTAATACCTTTGATTGCAATTAAATTAAAACTCACAATTTATAATTAAAATAATCTCATCAAAAACCTGGCCAAAATGAACACTTGGGCAAGTGACATGCAACATAATCATTGCAGTTGTGAACAGGAATACGGCAACCAGCAAAAGGATACAAAGTAAAATTATATTTCTGGTAAAGTGTATGGCTATTCTTTATTCAATGTATGATTATACTATGACTGAATCAAAGTAAGTATTTATATTAGCTAACTGATAACTATTACTATCAAACCATGCAATATATTGAAAAAGTCACATTCTGATCTATATGCAGTAACAATATGATATGGTATTCTTAATGTATTATTGTTCAATATCATGCATTCAACAAATATATATCTCAATAATATCAATTGGAGTAGCTTCATCAGGATATCCCTCATTGCTACACACCCTCAGCTCAATATCATCAGTAACTGACTGAGGTAAGGTTTTAATAAACCAGGGGATTGTAGAACTGGAGCAACAAGGAGACTCAAGATAATCACACTGCTGACCGTCCCACATTATGTCATCAGGATAAAATTTACTACCCAGGATATTGGAGGCTGTTGCTCCTGATTCACAGTAGTAATCATTACCAACATATGAAGGTGTAGTAGTTGTTGAACCATCATTACAGGGACATGAATATGCATTAGTCCTATCTGCAGTAGTTCCAACAGCATAAGTCCAGATATGTTGACGTGGATTGCTTCCATGAGTAATTGATAAACCATCAACATAAGCACCATCAATGTTGTCAGAACTTCCCACTCCATGGTTCGGATAAATACCATCTGGGCCTCCAGATTGATATCCTCTGGCCTGTCCACAGACTTTAGTATAGTTCAAGCCAATGGCTGAAAAGAATGTTGAATTACATCCATTTCCTAATCCTTGAGATTTATCACATAGTGTTTTGCCTCCATATGTGTAGTTGTAGAGACCTTGAGGACAGGTAGCACCAGGTTCTGTCATGTTAATGTATCCTATTCTCATCCAGCCACCATTACCATCACACTTACTACCCTCCATATCACAGTACACACTAACAATACTCCCATTACTTTGACTGATGTTATAATAGCCTGATGCTGCATTGGGAATGTTCTCTAATACTTCACTGCAAGAATAAAATTTGATTAATCCCAATGAGTAACATAAAGCCTTTGGTAAACCAGCAGTTGGACACAGGATATATTTGTTGGAATTATTTTCTCTCCAATAGATTTTCTTTCCATTATTAGCAGATAAGCAGCAGTACTGGTGATAGAGGGAAGGAGTATGATAGCCAGTAGTACAGTGATCCATACCTGATGAGGCATTAGCTTCATACAATAGGACAATGAAGGAGAGAAGAAAAGCAAAGTAGTGTGAAGACATTCTCATCAAACTAAATCTGTTGCCTGCAGGCATAAAGATTCTGCGTGAGACAACAAGTTGCCTAGAAATAATGGGCTTAAAAATGTAGCATAGCAATTCTGAGAATCAATAAGGAAATTATTAGGATCAAATAATTATTAGCAGTAATTGGGGTGAGCCTGATGAAGGCATAACAAGAGTGTAATTTGAATCCACATACACCTTCTAGAGTATGTAATATGATGCATGTTTATTCATAGCTGCCTAACAACAGTTGGCTTGGGATTGAGTGCATATTAAAACAATGGGCAAATAACGCACACATTGTATTTCAATGACTACAATTTTCCATGCTGTTTATGCTAGCACCATTATCACTATGCATTCTTTGAACTCATTGTTGATTGAAATGCATTATAGACAACAAAAAGTAATACCTTTAATTGCAATTAAATTCAAAACTCACAATTCATAATCAAAATAATTTCATCAAAAACCTGGCCTAAATGAACACTTGAGTAAGTGACATGGAACATCTAATCATTGCAGTTGTGAACAGGAATATGGCAACCAGCAAAAGGATACAAAGTAAAATTATATTTCTGGTATACTATTCAATGTATGATTATACTGTGACTGAATCAAAGTAAAATATTTGTTAGTTAACTGATAATATACAAACACTTACTACCAAAATATACAATATAGTGGAGCAGTCACATTCTGATCTACGCAGTAACATTATGACAGAGTATACTTAATGTATCATTGTTCAATATCATGCACTCAACAAATATATATCTCAATAATATCAATTGGAGTAGCTTCATTAGGATATCCACCACTGCTACACATCCTCAGCTCAATATCATTAGTAACTGACTGTTGAGGTAAGGTTTTAATAAACCAGGGGATTGTAGAATTGGAGCAACAAGGAGACTCACGTGAACCGCATTGCTGACCGTCCCACAATATGTCATCAGGAAAAAATTTATTTGCGACAAAAGTAGAGCTTGTTACTCCTGATTCACAATAGTAATCATTGCCAACATATGATGGTGTAGTATTTGTTGCACCAGTATTACAGGGACAACTAACTGTACTATTACCATCTTCATAAATTCCAACAGCGTAAGTCCAGATATGTTGACGTGGATTGCTTCCATGAGTAATTGATAAACCATCAACATAAAAACCATCAATGTTTGCAGAGCTTCCATAGTTCGGATAAATACCATCTGTACCTCCAAGCTGATATCCTCTGGCCTGTCCACAGACTTTAGTATAGTTCAATCCAATGGCCGAAAAGAATGTTGCACTACACCCAGTTACTAAATTATGAGATTTATCACATAGTGTTTTGTTTTCATATGTGTAGTTGTAGAGACCTTGAGGACAGGTAGCACCAGGTTCTGTCATGTTAATGTATCCTATTCTCATCCAGCCACCATTACCATCACAGTTACTACCCTCCATATCACAGTACACACTAACAATACTCTCATTACTTTGACTGATGTTATAATAGCCTGATGCTGCATTGGGAATGTTCTCTAATACTTCACTGCAAGAATAAAATTTGATTATTCCCAATGAGTAACATAAAG